TTTTCAAGCTTCACACCAGATACTATTGGCGAACTAAACTTATTTCAGAGTCGTTCTGAAACCACATGGGATGAACACACACAAACACATACACATATTCGCGCACAAACATAAATATATATTAGGACAATATTCCGCGATATGGCAAAGAGGATTCAGCAGAAATTTTATTCAGCACCGGCACAGACGTTCGATACAAGCTTTCAATAATGCTTCGGTTGCTTCACTCTATGTACATTCTATAAACACAGGAAACTAAAGTCAAGTAGGCCAATTGACATGTTACCTCGACGACGCATCAGTGACAGACACAGCAGGCAAAATAAAAGGGGAAGATCTGCAGGCGAATATAAACAATTTTGACAGTAAGATATTTCAAGATTTCTCGAAATATCTTGACATTTCTTGTTCATTCTTAATTTGACAGAACTTCTTGGTCAGACATATTGATTTGGTTTCGTAACCAAATCAAACCTTTTCCAACTACCTCAAGAAAAAAAGCTTGCTGCAGTTTTTATGACGTCACAATAATAAACAAACTCTCAACATGGCCGACATGAATGAGTGATTGCGATGAAATTCTCTTAATAATTTGCATATTTTGTCGCCAATAGCTGATACCTTTAATTGGTCATAGATATATATACCGACGAGAAGTATTAATATGAGTATATTAATAGTTTCATTACTCACCAGCTGCAGTACAAGCTTCCAGCAAAACTTCTGTTGTTTTGGTTTCGAAACTTGCTTAGGTTTTATGTGATCTGAAGCCTTATTACCTTTCTGAACGTAACTTCAATTAAGAACAGAGAAAACTAATGTAAAGTAAGCCAATTGTCTTAACTCGTCAGTGACAGACAGAGCAAGTTAACTGGAAGGGAAGGGTTGGAAACACATCCGAATATAGACAAACGCGATATAAGTCAAAATCTCACTTTCAGCTCCTGCATATAAACGTCAGAGGACAAAGATATAGATATCCAATGGATTGTTTGTTTCAGCACATTTTGGGGGACATCACCGCTTTTCTTGTGGATAACAAAGTAGTCAGTTTAGCAGCAATGGACATAATTTGTGCTAAGGACTAAAAGAGGGAAGTGTAGAGAAGAGAAATGTCGAAATAGGACAAAAAATAACTACAGTCTGTTTATCCTACAAATCCTTCAGAACTAAAGATCTAAACTGAAAAAAAATGAGAAGATTGATTTTGATTGCATATATTAACAGATTAGTGAATCTATTTTCCATAATACAGGAATAGATAAATAAAGTCCATTTTCTCCGTTTAAATAGTCATTGCTACAAGATTTAGAAAAAGGCGAATTCGATCGGTAATGCCCTTTGAGATACGTTTAATGATAAGTGATCCCACCCACAAAATTCTGCCTCGTTATGAAAACAGTCATCTCAAAGTGTTTCAAGAATCGTTACACTTGCAGTTTGCTCATCACGACAAGCTCAAGAGAATATTAATATTTTGTGTATCCTAGTGCAAAGGGACCTTAGAGCTCCTTCAGCAGATGTAAATGGTTAATGGTTAAAATCAAGATAAATGTGCTAGACATCTAAGGTCATGCAGCACTATAGTTAATGTTAGTGAAGGGTGGTTGAATTAGTGATTAGTTGTCTAAGCTGGGCAAAGGAATTAGTGAGTGAAAGGGTTAAGGTCGGGTGTTATATTAGATAAAGGGTATGCATAAGAAAGGTTTCTTGAAGGCATACAATAGATGGGTTATAAGAGGAAAGGATATGATGGTCAGGTCTGTGGGAGCGGAAACCGCGAATATTCCAATGAAGGATAGTTATACTTTCGTTGATTTAGTGATGTAGATTGTAGTACGTGTTGGAGAATTTGAAGGGGAAGCAGCTAGAGGGTGGAATAAGGACTGAGAGGTTTGAGATGGGAGAGGTGTGGGAGTTGGTGTTCTATCAGGAGGGGTATTAGGAGATGGAGGGTCTGAGGAAGGGGATACGTGTGACATAAGGGATTCACGCGTGTATCCAGGAGGGAGTGGAAGGGATAGAGGGGATGGTGGGAGGGTTAATGTGGGCTGGGTTGGGGTCGGGGTCGGGGGGGATGGGCTATGTTGGGAGGGGGTAGGAGGATAGGGTGTAGGGGGGATATCGTTAGGAGGAGGATGGATATCAAGCAATTACTTGGAGTGTGGAAGGAGCAGGAGTTGTAGGTTGAGTGTCGGTTTTCATTAAGTAATCTTGAATATTTTCAATAATTTCTTCTGTGGAGTTGGTTGGGGAGTTTTGGGGGATAAAGGATTTCTTGTGAGGGGGGGAAGAGAGGACTGGTGTCTCAAGAGTACGGGCAAAGGATGGTGGGGGTGATTGTGTGGTAGGGGAAGAGGGGGTGGAACGTTTGTTCTGTCTGTTACGGGGAGTGCGAGGAGGGAGAGGGGAAGGTGTTGGGGTTGTAGTGGTGATTGGAGTATCTGTAGTAGAGATTGGAGTTTCTGGATTTAGGATGGCAAAAGAGTTTGACTGGGGAAGGTAGGTGGGGTTATTGGGGGGGTTAGATGTAGGAGGGGTGGGTTTAGGAGAAGTGTTAGAATGAGCAGTATTACTGGAGTAAGGAGTAAGAGAGAATCCACGTCGACGTGCTTCCTGTCTGGCTTCACGCAGTGTGAGTCCGAGTTTGAATCTGAGAGTTGCTACCTCAGATTCAAATTTGTAGGTGGGACAGCCCCTATAAAATACATTATGGGGGCCGCCACAGTTGGCACATGTGCGTGATTGTGCAGAGCAGTTAGATCGGGTATGGCCAGGTTGGGCACATAATGGGCATCTGGCTGTGGAACGGCAGTGTTTGGCTGGGTGTCCTAGACGCCAACAATTTTGGCACTGACGTGGAGGAGGTTGGTATGATTCTCCTCCTATGTAGACGTTAAAGGGAAGGTCATGTCTACGGAAGGTAATTTTGGCTATGTTAGTGGGTTTCTTTCGATGACCTCTGGGGGGGATGGAATAGCATTGTACTGATGTTGCATCGTAGTCTGTGAGACAGGCAAGTAGATCTTCTCCACAATCTGACCAATCTTTGTCATAGATTGGGCAATTTGCTGGTGAGATTGAGACTGTTCCGGTGCAAGTATTGAGGGTTGGATGGGGTTCTGCTAGGATGGGGTTACCATATTGGTCAGTTAGTTTTGTTAATGCTATGGCTTGGTTTTCGGATGTTACTGTTACAAGACGGGAGCGGTCGGGTCGGCTACGGAAAGAGACTTTACCTACTTGTTTTTGGAGGCATTGTTGGAAGAGAAGGGTGTTGTCAGAGTAGGGAGCTGTGGGAGGGATCACGAAAAATCGGTCCCATTTGGCTGCACTGAAGAGAGTATTCAAGATTGTTTTAGAGATAGGGGTGGTAGAAGGGCGAGGGCGTGACGAAGATGGAGTAGTGTTGATGGAGATAGTGTTATGGAGAGGTGGGCTATAAGGCTGTAAGGTATTAATAAGGGAGGATGGTATGTTTGATGTTGGAGGTTGTGGGGGTAGAGGTGTTGAAGTTGGGCATGCTGGGAGAGTGGAAATGTTCCTTGAGGGTTGATTGTTGGCTACTGTACTAGTAGGCATTGGTGAAAGGGCAGTTATTGCAGTGTTCGGAGCCGTGGTCAAAGGAGAGCCTGGGGTCGGGGAATCGGGTGGGTTTACTTCTTTGGGGCTATTTGATATAGGGGCAAGCCTCATTGCCCCTAACAGTGGGGATATATTTTCATTACTGGCCATGGTAAGCCTGGTTATGTTGGGGATAAAAACAGTCCACCCCTCAGGGTCCCCTTGAGGGGTAAGGGCTAGATACTAAATCAGGGGAATACCGTGCCCATGGCTCCCTCAGGCCGTTCAGGACTGGCACAAAGTCAGCCTTTCATCCTTTCAGCACGGCTCTCACACCTTAGGAGGTGGATAGCAGAAGGGTTTGGTGAAGGGACAGAAACAAAAGTGGGAAGGGAAAAAAAAGACCATGCATAATTAGTTGAGTCGAGGGCTGAGTCCCAAGGTTGGGGAGTTCCCCATCATTGGGTCCCAGTCTCCGCCTCCTAAGCCCCCCCACGACAACAACGGGCAAGGGATTGGGGGGGTCAGCAGATGTAAAAAAAAAAAAACACTACAAATGGCGAGCAGGGAAAACTGCATAAAAAGTCAAAACATGAAATGCATCCAATTGTTCAACATATATCGAATGCTTATTCCAAAGAGAGAACACATACGTCTAATAATAAGTGATCCCAACCACAAAATTCTGTCTCGTTATGAAAACAGTCATCTCAGAGTGTTTTTCTTGTTAAGAATCGTTACACTTGCAGTTTGCTCATCACGACAAGCTCAAGAGAATATTAATCTTATGTGTATCCTTGTGTAAAAGGGCCTTAGAGCTCCTTCAGCAGATGTAAAAAGCATTAAAAATAGCGAGCAGGGGAAACTACATAAAAGTCAAAACATGAAATGCATCCAATTGTTCAAGATATATCGAATGCTTATTCCAAAGAGCGAACACATATGTCTTCAGGAAACCACGTCTGGTTATTGCTTTGTTTTGTTTTTTTCTTTTTCCTTTTTCCCCCTTTTATCCGCTCCTCTGTCACTAATCATAGTGCTCAAAACCACCGAGATTCGTAGTTTTAATAATCTCCACATTCATTACAATTTGTGGCACAACACCCAGTTTTTACTTAACACATTGATTTTTCTTTGAAATTAAAAGGTTAAATTCACGTACAGTAATAGTTACTCATTAAACTCCCCCAATGAATGGTACATCTATTTTCTATTAATGAACCCTAACTATAATCCTAATTGCCTATCCATATATATATATATGTATATATATATATATATATATATATATATATATATATATATATATATATCAATTTACATATGAAACAAGTAGGCCTACAATCGCAGCTAATGTATGAAAGTGTGAATACAATCTGATTATTTTTTCCATGGACATCCGGTTGTTTACTTAGACCCAAAATACGACTGTTTATTCTACCTCAAATAAGGATTATCAATTTTTCCTTTGTTTCTTCTTGATTTCTCTGTTTATTTACATTATTTTTTACTACCAATATTATGATTCCGTTTAATTAAAGATAGGAAGGGGATCAAGAGCTCGTTTATAGACTATAAAATGTGTTCATAAAATATGCTCTTTCCAGTTAACATATGATTATATCGCTTGTATTTATAATAATACTTATATTCACGGAACAATAACACATAACTTGAACTTTCATCCAAAAAACTTAAAGATGTCAAATCAAGAATCTAGGCTAAAAATTAAGGGGTATTATTTCATATACAAGCCATGTTGGTTAGAAAAACAAGGTAAGTGTTTTTTAAAAAATCTTTTCAGATATTAAAATATATATTGTATATACACATCATATACAATAAAGTATACATTGCGGAACCAGCCCGCGGAGACAACAAGAACAAAACATTACGATGATTAAAACAAATAAAAAATGGGAAGATTGCATACGAAAGGAGCTGACAACAAACGCAGTGATAATGATAAGAGAAAAATAATAGTACTGAAGAACAGCTGAGGACTAAAACGATATGTGAGAGAGGATTAATTCGAACAAATCTCCCGCCTTCTGCCTTAACCATCGGCTGTCTTTGCGCATGCCAGTCTTCCACGAAAAAAACAATGCGCACTGTAAACATAAATGTGAGCCATTGTGTATGTTGTTGCCATACCTAAGAAATAATAATAATATACAATACAACACATACCTTTGACACGGTTGTTTTTTTATAATTTTCATCACCTGTTTTTTCACAAGGGAAAAAAACGTGTGTATTTATCATTATATACTGCAATAGATAAGTTACTTGCTAATAATCTACTAAAACAATTAAATGGAGCTGCCAGCGGCCCCATAAGTCAACAGCGTGGATTCTATCACAATCAACACGCAAAACAAAAAAATAATAGTTACTGCTTTAAAAAGAAAATTGGAATCCAGTCCATTTTTCTATGATTTTCCGACGAGAAATCCAGAAGACAAAATTTAAAAAATAATTGATATTCTGTTCTGTGATTTCCTAAACTAGTTTTCTCTTTTGCATATTAGAACACCATCTTCCTCACTTCTTTGGCAAGCTAATATACTCTATGGGACAGAAGACATAAGGAAGACTGATGCCGAGTCTGAGCTATAATAGTAACAGTAACTAGGAAAAAAAAATTCCCCCTGAGTAGGTCTGTTGCAGGTCGTGGGATCGGTGGCTTCGAAATCCTAACCTACATTGATCTAATAGATTTACGCTGAGGCTTTTTATTGCATCCATAATACTGAGTCTGAAACTGTATATATATATATATATATTATTTATTTTTTGCAGCGTACCGAATCAAGATTTTTTCTTTCTTTTTTTTGTAAATCCACGACCCCTCAAAATTATGAAACCGGATGGACATTTTCCTGGAAATGGGATTCGATACCTAATTATGTCATCGTTTTTTTCACACTACGCTAATTTGAATAACACCAGTTTTTTACATTAAATAATGAGGTGGTATCACAGGGAAAGTGGGCTCCATCTTGATGACGTCATCACAAAGACGCTCCCTGACTGAAAGGTTTTCAAATCTGTGACGTCACTACCCAAAAAAAAAACTAATCTCTGACATTTCTTCATTATCATAATCTTCAATCACTGATTTTTTTCTTCTTCCTTTTATATTTCAGTTCCAAAAACTATACATAACATGAACCACCATCCAAAACAGTTGAAGTTTGATCGTACGCCTGAGAATCTGAACTCAAAAACCTCGCTATTTTTCTCTCTCTCTTTTTTTGAGTAGTATCGCCACGCAAAAAGTTCACATACACTGGGGCTTTATATACAAGACCCCTAACTGCCCCCAGGTTAGAATAGGTCCCAAGGAGACCAGGGATAAGATTTCCTTAGGTATTCTGAGAGATCGTTGCCTCTCAGCTTCTCGCAGCGTAGGATATCCAGTCAGACGTGTAGGATACTTTGTGGTAAATTCCTGTAAAGAGATAAAAAAAGGGATTTACTATATAATTCCTTGAGCATTAATACTAGCGTAGATATTCTAGAATTCATAACGGTTGCAGTACTATGAGAAGCAATGTAGATTACATGTATCAAGTTTGATCAGTGACACAATTATCGGATAATTGAACATTTAGCTGAACTCGGAAGACTTAAATCTAATCATTCAAGAAAAAGAAAAAAAATATCGAGAGAATTTATATTTCTCAAAATTTAATTTCTAAGTTGAAAAAAATGTATATTTAGTACGGTAAGATATGTATACTGGCGAGGACACCAGATTTTCCACAAGGCAAAAAAGTACACAATTAATAATTAAATGAAATAAACCATTTCTATCAAATACACTAAATATACTAATTACTAATTACTGGAAATAATCCTAATCAAATACTTTACAGGAATTCACACAATCGAATCCCATGAAAAGAAAAAAAACTATTCAACCATAGAACCAAAACAATTAACTCCCCCATAAAATAATAATAATAATAATAATAATAACAATAATAATAACACCAATGACAAAGGAAAAACACACAGAACAGCAAATAACACACAGCTGTCTCTACACATACCTGGCTGCTTGGACTGAGCGCACGAGTAGCCGGCAGACACGATGCCAGCGAGGTACCAGCGCCCGCCGTCCTGTATCATCAGAGGACCTCCGGAGTCCCCCTGGCAGGAGTCCTTCCCGCCCTGGTTGTAGCTGGGAAGAGGAGAGGCGCCGTTAAGAGATTTGGGAAGAGATCTCGGTCATTATGGGACGGAAAAGAAAGGAGGGCGGGTTTTGCTGTGTGGTGGTGACGCCGGTAATAATATTAGCGATGCAGTGGGATATTTTAGAAGAGATGGGGGCGGGTTACGTTGTTGTGTTATGGTGATGGCAAAAATAATAATAATAATAATAATAATAATAATAATAATAATGATAATAATAATTATTATTATAATTATAGTAATAGTAATAGTAATAGTAATAATAATAATAATAATAATAATAATAATAATAATAATAATAACAATAATAATAATAATTATAATAATAGTAATAATAATAATAATAATAATAATAATAATAATAATAATAACGCTTATATGGTTATTACAGAACCAAACAAAAATATTACAGGGAAAACAGAACATTACTTTTTTTAAGCACACGTTAAACAAGCAGGAAAAAAACAGGACGAAGAGAAGTTTTCCAAGAACAGGATCCTTACCCAGCACACATCATTTCGTCGTGAATAATGACGTTGATGCCCCGCTGCCGATGCCAGTCCTCGCACAGGCGGGAGTCCAGGATGGGCACGTCCACCACCTGCAGTGTCTTGGGCCGGAGCTTCGAACCTGGAAGTGAAACATGGTTGATTCATGATGCTTAAGCTTGATAGGAGGAGGAGGAACAGGAACAGGAACAGGAACAGGAACAGCAGGAGGAGGAGGAGGAGGAGGAGGAGGAGGAGGAGGAGGAGGAGGAGGAGGAGGAGGAGGAGGAGGAGGAGGAGCAGCAGCAGCAGCAGCAGCAGCAGCAGCAGCAGCAGCAGGAGCAGCAGCAGGAGCAGGAAGAAGAACAAGAAGAAGGAAAGGAGTAGCACATCAAAAAATGAAACCAACAACCCACACGCGACGCCACAGCACAAAAAACGAAGATAAACTAGGCACACGATCGTGCAACGTACCAGCCTGCAGCGCTCCCCAGCCGGCGGCCCAGGCGATACTCCCCAGCCAGTCCGTCCCCTTCTCCGGTAGGCAGATGGGCTGGATGTGCGGTTCGTAGGCCACGGGGGCGTCGAGGGTGATCACGGCCACGTCGAATCTGTCGGCCTGGGGCGTGAACTTGAAGTTTGGATGAACCTGTTGGGAGGAGAGAGAGAGATATGAAAATATGTTTACTGATATATTACCTCTTTATGGATATGTAAAAGTAACTCTACACAGGGTAACACGTACGTACTGTTATATAAATCCACAGTGTTATATCCCCATCAATGTAAGAATAACTGTCATTTTTCTAAGACATATCTATCATTGACAAATACGTTAGCATACATTCACAGATAAACATCTGTATAACATTACGTCGCAATGGACACATTAAAACCGACTTAGTCACAAACACACACTATACAAGCCCACGAACAAAGACACTTAGCTCCATCTACCCAAGAGCCAGATCAAAAGCGCATTAAGCTCTTCACAACCTTGCACTCGTCCTCACCTTGATTTCAGAAGCCCCGTAGATGCGTGGGTTGAAGTGTTCCTTGTTGGAGTTGAGGATGTAGTCCCCGAGAGTCACCCGGATCTGATGTGCTCGAGCCCTGGGGAGGAAAAGTGGTTTTAATAATAATGATGATGATAATAATGATGATGATAATAATGATGATGATAATAATGATGATAATAATGATGATGATAATAATGATGATAATAATAATAATGATGATAATAATTATGATGATGACTGGGCAACAATAATTTATTTTTGTAATATTATTGTTACATAAGTAAAACTGTCACTTTCCAATATTGGCATTTATGTCACTATACAATATGGTATCGCTGCATATAATGTTTGGTTGTATTACATTTTGGTTCACTTATTCTATTCTTGCAATCATAGATATCACATACTATACTTTCTCTATATAAAAAATATATATATCTTGCAAACTTTAGATCCCACAGAACACAAAAACATTCAAAAACATTTACTCATGATCAAAAGACTTCAAAATCAGTGAGATGTCGAATCATCTTAAACTAAACTATAAGTCTTCATACAAAAGGACTAACCTCGCTACACAATGCCCAGCAGTGACCACGTGGTACTGGTTGATGAGGGAGCCACCACACCGACTGGATCCAATTCTGATGTAAGCCTGTGGTAGAAAAAAATGGTATTATTTATTTTAACCCAAATTCTAACGAGAAATATATCATGTTCTGTTTGATGTATTCCAAGTAAAAGAATTATATGCCAGTGATATATCTTATTGTTTATTTATTTATCTATTTATTTAATTTTCTTTTAGCATTCATTAAGTTCCATCCCGCTTCTCACCGTCCAAGGGAAGGAGCCGAACCCAGCTTCCGTGCCTCCAACGATCCTCCTTTGCGCGGACAAACGGCTGCTGGCACTCAGTCCGCAATCTGGAGGAGGCAAAGGCGCGGCGTTAAGGAAAGACTCCCTGATTATTCGCCACAATATCATTCAAAATCCCTCATGATATCAGAACTTAGAAAAAAAGAAAACAATTCCACAAGAGCCAACAAAAACCGCCTCGCAGACGCCACCTCTGTCGTTCCTGATGGGGCCGTAGTCGACGGGGACGAAGCCCGACTTGTCGTCGCGGTACGACTCGTGGCCGCGCTGCCCCCGGTTGTTGGGTCTCGTGCAGCAGGCGAAGAGGAAGCCGCCGCAGCCGCCGTCGATCAGGCCCCCGCTGAGCCAGCAGAAGAGGAAGAACTCGCAACTACCGCTGTAGCAGAGGGACTGATCGCCTAAGAACAGCCTCTTGGTGGCGCGCGACAAGTCCTCTGGAGGAGAAAGTTGGTGTTAGAAATGGCGTTAGAAAATGTACTATTGTAGGATTAACAAGCAACATATTATAGTTTTCAATATTGCATTACATTTGGCGATTATATGTAGCTTATTCTGTACCGTAAATATTGTAATCATGATCAATTCGGTAACAAATGCCAAATATTCCTGTCAAAATTATTTTCCAAAATACTCAACATAGTACTCATTCCTTCGCATGGAAATCAGTCCCCAAAACGATCTCCCCCATGCAATAAAACCCGCAATACACAGCTTCACTCTGAACTCACGGTTGCCGCTTCTCCGCTGGGGCGTCGTCCGGGGGTTGCGGTCCAGCGGGAGGGCGTGGGGTCTGTCGGCGGGTCCTCCAGGGCCCTCCAGATTCCCTCCGAGCATGAGGTGCTGCTCCAGCGCCGCGACGCCCGAGCCGCTGATGCCAAGACGCTCGGCGATCTGTGTAGCTTGAAGGGCGTCCAGGCTGAACCTACCAGGAGTAAGACATTAAGCTCTACACGCTCTCCAGGAAGAGCTCTCCGGGAGACTAGGACTGCCGGCTCGCTTGCTCTTTCAAAGTCTCTCTCGCAATATATTTGTTTTATAATTGATTTTTACTTTAGGGGATTTCGAAAATATTCATATTTAGGAGACTATTCTGAAATGCGGTTGATACGTTTTAGACTTTAAACTGGCAACAAAAGAATGCACGAAGTCTAATAGGAAATGTCTGTATTCACTATTATTTTATATTTATTTTTTGTAAACTTTTTCTTGACGTTAAAGACATTTCATAGAAGGAAATGAACAGGAAAATGTTTGTCTCGACCATATACGTGCTCAAGAATATTAAGCATGGCCAAAATATCAAATGAACTTTAAAGATATATGTCTCATGGAAATGAAATAGTTAGGCCTAAAATGCGAGACACGCATTGTGTTGAATTCAAGTATCACAAAAAATGTATATTTGCTTCAGCAGTTACTATGTTATTAGCTTCATAGTTAGACTAAATACAGAAACCAAGCAAAACCATGGCTAAACCCTTTTATCACTGACTGATAACACTCCCACGTCAAAGGAAAGAAAATAGAAAATCAGTCGGGGAAACAGTCGTCACAAGTCGATCCAGGAAGGTAAAATTCCTGACATTTTTTTTTCTTTTCTTTTCTTTTATAACGAATCATAAACAAGGAGGAGGACAAGACGCCGTCGACCACGAGTCAAGATGTCTCCCGCGTCAGCCTACGTCATGGCCGTGTCGTGACTCGCTAAGGGTCAGTTAAGGGTGACAAGGGTGACTGTAACATTGTCAGCCTCCCCCTCCTGCTGCTGCCTGTAAGGTCGAGTCCGTCATAGTTCTGTTTGAGATAATGCACTTAAATGGACATCACATACACATGCATGCATACACACATCCGATTCAGTATAAATTGCAGTTGTAAGTTCTTGTTGTTTTTTCCAATTTGTCGCTCTAATAGTTTAATTTTGACTAATGTTAATCAGCTGTTAGATATCCAAGAGTCTGTGAGTGATTCTTCACGTCTCCACGTGGTTAAATAAAGTTACTGAATTAGGATTAAAGGTCCTTGATTACCTACAGTCGTGCCCTGAAAAGTCGTCCCCCTAAAATCCTCACTCCCCAGCCACAACGAGGGGAGTAAGGACGACCTACCGCGTCAGGATGCTATTGAACTCCTCGTGGGAGAGAGTGGCGTTGTGCTCGGGAAGTTCCGTGATGGACAACCCGCCGGTGCTGTTGGCGAGGTGGAGCAAGGACGTGAGGGCGTTGGTTGGAGGGCCGGTCGCGCTGTCGCTCTCCCCGACGCCGTGGTGGGGGAGGGCAGCCGCAGAGCCGGGCTGGTAGGGGTCGACGGGGGACGGGACGAAGGGCGGCAGGGGCGTCTCAGGGGCAGAGGTGGGGGGCGAGTCCGTCTCCTCGAGGATCGGGTCTTCGGTGCGGGGGGGCGAGATAAGGTCCTCGGCTTGAGAAGGACCATGACTAGGGACGAAGAGCTCCGCTGGGCTGTCGGTGTCATGCAAGGGGGCGGGCAGCTGGTCATGCGACAGGGAGGGGATTATGTCATGAGGATCTGTGGGGAGGGCAGAGGGGGAGAGGGCAGCGGGAGAGGGATGGGAAGGAGGGTTCACTGGGCTCGGGAGGGGCTGAGGACTGAGGTTTCCGAGGCCTGGGGTTGCCAGGAGGAGAAGTGAAGCCGCCGCCACATGGTGGAGCATGGCCGACACCCGACCAATCTGGAAGAGACGAGTGGAAGTCAGCATAATGTACATCTTTCACTGCAAAAATAGTTTGCATTCAATGAATACTTAAAAGGCAGTTTCCCTCCCGACATATACCGCATAACAGATTCATAAGAGCAGAGCCATATTTCAGACTAACAAATTAAACAATCAGATTGAATTTTACGCTTTAACAAACTGAAACACAAGGGAGTAACTTCAACCACTAGCGAAGTTTAGCAAAAATAGAGACCCAAAAATGTCCAATTCTCCTCCCAAAAATAAGTGAAAGAAACCAGAGTATCCATCACATAATGAACCAAAATATTAAAACCATTCATTACGTATTCAAGTACATACCATATTACGATAATGCCACCGGAAGCTGCATTGACCTATGAGAGAGAAAAAAAAAACATTCAGTAATCTTTTTTTTTAACGTCTGTTGTTTTTGTTTATATGTTTCACATTATACAATCTGCCTAAACTCTACTTTTCCCTTTCAGCCTACACTCACACAAACCAGGGAAAAGGCAGCACACTGTTACAAGTACACATCAATGGCATAAATAACAAATAAATAGATGAGCAAATACAATAAAGATGATATAAGAATCTTAAATATATATTAAAAGCCTTAACTCGCGCAGGAATTTTCGAAGCAGATCTGAAATGAATTATTGCAACAAGGAGAAAAAGTTTTCCAAATGCCTTCTAACTCCATTCAGATACTGGTGACGTTACACACATATCTAAATCTGTATCTATTTATCTATCTATATTTATGTCTATCTGTCTATCTATCTATCTACCTATATATCTGTCTACCTATGTATGTATGTATGTATGTATGTATGTATGTATGTATGTATGTATGTATGTATGTATGTATGTATGTATGTATGTATGTATGTAGCTACCTATCTACCTATATATACATATCTACCTATCTACCTATATATACATATACATATAACTATTTTGTACACACACTAAGAGGTGTGCTCAGTAGCTTACAAAGGTTAGGAATCCCATATTTAGTACACCACGATAAGGGATTTCGATAGACGTAATTAGGGACAGAAACTTTCGATTGATTAAAATTGCTGTAGGTTTTGTAAATATGTGGATGCTGATTCGCTCCATCTCTGATATATTTCCTAATATCCTCAGCATCTCATTCTAAAACTGTGGATACAGCGGAGGATTTTTGTGAAGATGATGAAAATTTTGTCGCCGGTACACCTTTAAGACATGGTCGTATCCCCCCCCCCCTTTTCAAATTCAACGATATATTAGTCTGTTGATAATAAGCTTCTTCTGAAAATTCACCGAACGTCTATTCTAAAAGTAAGTTGAAGTATAGGTAAAGCCTTTATTCCATCGACATTCCGCAAGTTTTTCTTTTCTTTTTTTTGTATTTAATTTAGGTCTACGTGAACTAGTAAGTTCTGGGATTTTATCTGACACATTGCTATTCATTCAAGTGTAAATGGTGTACCTTATAATAAATACAATAAAACAAATATGTAGAGTATTTGGAAGGGAATTGGCTGAAAAAGTAAATGAAAAAGATATTCACATTTTCATTCTTTTACTTGAATTGTCACTAGGTTATCGACAGAAAATGTTGACATTCATGTATGAACGCCATATCTGCAGTGAATAAAAGATAATAATAATAAAAATGAGTGACTGGTAATGCTCGTATTTCGAAAGAATATGCAAAACATCTATCATTTGGAAAGTAATTTCTAAACGACATAGATGAACAAATATAAAAATCTGCGTCATGCGACATTTTCCCGCGCTTTCTGCATCAGCGGTCGATTGTCAGCTGTTTTCTTCCAAAATGTTGACAGTGCCTATCCATCTTGAATGAATAAGCAAAAAATATTATTGAAAGAATAATGGTATTTTTTCAAGCCAACTCCAGTAAAGCCCATATAATTTGTGATGATTAAATCATATAGAAAAGGGAGAAAAAACACAGGCAAGAGACGATAATATTTCACATCAATATGAAGGCTTCATTCCAATAGAAGCAATTACATTTTTAAAGGAAGACACTATTTTAGGCCCTACGAAAGAGTTCGTGAAGTAAAACTAATTATATCTAATCATCAGAGTGTAGGTCGTGAACTGTTTAATTGAAACCTCGATCAGAGCTGACGTTACAGAGACTCGATAACGAAAACAATAGCATCTGTCATCTTATCCCTTTCACTTCAAATATGAAATGAGTGTAAAGCTTGCATTCGTGAACAGATTTAGATGTTTATATGCATCACAATGTTTGTATAAATGGTATATACACAGACACAGAGAGAGAGAGAGAGAGAGAGAGAGAGAGAGAGAGAGAGAGAGAGAGAGAGAAATATACCAGCTCTAGAACAACCAAAGGCCGCCAAGCAGGGCTACCCATACATCCATCAGCCACTGGTCAAGGAATCGCCACTCAAGTCAAGAACACACTGTATCCCTCACCCCTCACAGCCTCACTTTTGAAGGCCATCATTTTGGGGTTTCACAGAGATGTACGCAGCATTGTATCATGAGAGAACGACAACTCGATTTCTCAATTAGACCTCGAAACTATAAACGGCAAGCTTAGAATGGAAGTTTCTCCAGAAAAATGACATGGACAACACAAGAAAGTCGAGGAGTCTGTTAGCGTTGGAATTGTGATGGCGTGTTTCTTCTTTGCCATGCACGGCCATTACATTTTTGTTCGCTTTCAAAATTAGCATTCAGTTAACGCCCGCCAATTTACAACTGTTTGTCTTACCACGGTGCCGGAGGAGGAGCAGGAGAAATAACCCAGGAACAGCAGTAAGAGCTTCATCCTCTACACTGAAAAAACGCCTTTGTGAAAAACTGTTCCCTTCGCTGGCGATTTCCTGAAGGGATTGAGGCACAGTTACATGTGTGTTGCGTAGGCCCTTGTGACTATTTTTTTATTCCCTTAATTCAAATAAGGGATTTATTGAAGGATGTTTAAGACTCTTGCAGATGCCGTGGAAGAGTATGCCAGAGTCGTAGGAATTTTCGCAGAAGAGGCCAATATTATGGTCTACTAGGTATGGTACTGGGAGATGTAGTGTTTGGAAAAGTGTTCGACTAAGTTTTAAACCACTGTAAAAGTTCCATTCAAGTGTAACGTTTGTAAAATATAGATACTATCTGAACGAGCCTCGAAGTACACAGTATATATACGAATATGCACCAGCGTATATGAGTACAGTATATTCCATTTCGCTATCGTGTTCTCATTACAGAGTGAAAGCTTCTTACAACTGCCTTTCCACATATGCCTCTTGTCACACTTGCCCCGGTTTCTAAATATCACTTTTCGCATTTTTTTCATACCATTTTTTTCCTTATTTTATTCTTTCTGCCACGATGTCTTATCCCTATCTTGCCATTTCTTCCACGTCTTTTGTTTACGTATAATTATCCCAAATAATGACACTCTTCCTTTTGAGAATAGAGCTATCTATAAACTTTTTTATTGATGCTTTCATCGGGCTTCGTCTTGTATTCTGAACAAATTCTTTATCTTCCTCTATTCGCTTAGTATTATTTTTTCGGTGATATATCAATTGAAAAAAAAATCTGAACATAACAGTGCATTATGGCTAAAAAAAAACAAATTTAGTCTATTGTTTAAACACCTAATATCATGTTTTAAACACCCTCCTTGCCGAATAGCATTTAATAGGATAGATATCTCCATTGAATAAAGTGCTTTCTCACCGTTATTAAATTCAAGTACAAAAGAGTTTTTTTTTTTTTTTTTTTTTTTTTTACACTCATTTACTATTACCATTTGAATTGTTCGTTCTGGAAATGACACGGAGCGTTGACAATTGCCAATTTCTGATTTTCATTTCTTTTGGATTTCCATTCTCTTTCCTAGGTACATGTATATTACTGCTATTAACATGATAAATTTCTTTACTTTGTATTGGATTACTAATAACCGAATTTCATTAATTAAATGTGGCTTATATGGTTTGGTAAACACAAGACACTATTTTCACTTTATTAAGTTAAATGCATTTTTTCTGTATTTCAGTTTTCCACTTCTTATTGCTTTGTTGCTCTCTCTCTTTCTCTTTCTCTCTTTCCCCCTCTCTCTTTCTCCCTATCTGTTTCTCTCTTTCTCTTTTTCTATTCCTCCCTCTCTTTCTCTTTATCTCTCTCTCTCTCTCTCGAAAAGTCTTTCGAAAATAGCATATTGCTGTTTACATTATTACACAGAGTATCTTCATACATGCAGAAAACATGCATGCAACAATAGAGAAACAGACCATCCATATTCAGACCATATTATGAATCAGAAACTTTTTTTTTTTCCCCCGAACGGAAAATACCAATCATAATAAAGATATATAAAACAAACAACACGCATTTCAATC